GGGAAAGAGGGAAAAAGATGAAGAGAGAGAAAAGGGAAGATAAAGGGAAATTGAGAAAGCACCCCTCAGGGGAATGGCCAACTGTAATTCCTTCTCCTCCATGCCCTTCTCAGAATTTTGGGCACATGTGCATGTCTGGCATATTTTTCAAACCACTGGATCTGGGACTCAAACTATGAAAATAGCCATGTGGAATCCAGCTACCTTAATCTCCACACCACTGGCTGACCCCTAATACTCAGATTTTAAGCAGAAGTCTTGCTTATACTTTCCATGTTACTTGTTAGAGTTAACTTTGTGTGTGTGTGTGTGTGTGTGTGTGTAATACTTAGATCCTATAATTTTTTTTTCCTTTTTTTAAATTAAATTTATTTACATTCATTAACTGTACATCATTAGGGCATACAAAGTGAGATTTACCATCCAGAGTACATTATATATTGGCTCAGTCAAGCACATCAACATACATGTTATCATCAACAAATAATTTTCCATTTCTTGTTTCCTGTATGTTTTGCTTTTTTCTCCCCATCCTTAATTCCCTATCTCTTACCCTCTGCCATTTCCCACTCTCCTCCCAAACTGTCTCTGGTATCTATGTTTGCTTTCTATACTCTCCCCCCCACACACACACACACACATTTTATTGAGTCACTAAAGATCTTAATTAATCTAAATATTTTCATAGCTAGCACAGCTGATATATACATTTCCATGAACACAAGTCCAACTTTAGGTATAAGCCTCAGTGAGTAGAATGAACATCCTATAAAGTAGCACCTAGAAGGGGCTATATATCTTACTGCAGGCATCAAATAGATATTTCTAATGCTTTTTTTAATTTCAAGAAAATCAGTTTTAGTGTTTTTTTTTCCCTGAAACTTTTTTTAATTTAATTTACATTCTTCCCTATGCATTGCCATAGCATACAAAATGTGATTTTCCATCCAGAATATACTGCATAATGGCTTAATTGTGCATATTATTATAAGAATTTTTCCATTTGTAGTTTCTAGAATATTTTTTTTTACCTCCTATTCTGACCCTCTGTCCTTTCCTACCCTCTTCTCACACTATCTCTGGTGTCTACAATTGTCTTCCATTCCTTTCCCATGCACATTGTAATGATCACACAATTTCTTAAATCATCTAATTACTTTCAATAGTAAGTTCACTTGGTACTATTAAGAAAAACAGTTTTAACTTAAAGAAATGCTAAGGAACTTTGCTTAAAGCCAGGAAACTGGTTAGGATTCTGTTCACATGGTAGGTGCATGAAGCTATCCATATCTCAAGGCAGGACACAAATCCTTACAACTAGATAACAAAGTCTACAAGAAAATCAGCAATATTTTAGTCAAAAGTCATAAAATTATACTTCACCAGTTCAGTCTCACGTACTTTAATCTTCTGTTCTGGTTCAATTTTCCCGATTAAGTTCTGGGATATAATACTCAACTCCAGACTTGTCCCTATGATAAAGTTGGCCACTCTGTTAGTTTTTGAACTCTTATTTCTGTGTGTCTGTATTTAATTTTCCTGATGTAGCACTCCCTTGAGAACTTCTTGGAGATCTGGTCTGGTGCTGGTAAATTCTTTGAGGTTTTGATTATCTGAAAATGTTCTTGTCTTTTCTTCCCACATGAAAGATAATCTTGCTGGGTACAGTATTCTTGGCTGAAGTTGCTTTTCTCTTAACACTTTGAATATATTTTCCCATTCTTTCCTCGCTTGCATTGTTTCTGATGCAAGGTCTGCTGTGAGCCTGATGGGATGTCCTTCGCAGGTAACTTGATGTTTTTCTCTTGCCGATCTTAGTATCTCGTCTTTGTCTGTGGTTTTGGTCAACCTGGTTGTAATGTGTCTTAGAAAAGATCTTGGGTTGATTCTATTTGGGGTCCTTTGTATTTCTTGGGACTGGATCTTTGAAAGCATCTCTAGGTTTGGAAAGTTTTCTTGTAGGATTTCATGGAATAGATTATCAGTGCCCTTATGAGTCTCTTCACCTTTTGGAATGCCAATTATCTGGATGTTTGGACATTTGATGGTATCTAGTACTTCTTGTATATTCTCAAATTTTGGGGCAATTTTCTCAGTCCTCGTGTTGGATTTTCTAGGCCAGCAATTTTCTCTTCTATGTCTGAGATTCTATTTTCTGTATGGTCTAGTCTGCTTTTAATACTTTCAAGGGAGATTTTGATTTCCTGTATTATAGCCTTCATCTCTAATAGTTCCGTTTGATTCTTTTTTAAAGTATGTAATTCCTTCTTTACATCTTGTAAGCATTTTCTCACCTCCTGGAACTCATCAACTTCTTTCTCCTTTTTCTTCTGCAGTTCATTGTCTTTCTTCTCTTCCATCTCTGTTAGCTTCACCATTATGAATATTCTAAATTCTTTATCAGACATTTCCATGATTTCCATTGAACTGCTTGTGGATGAAGATGGCCACGCTGCAATCCCTTCTCCTCTGTTCTCCTCTCGGGAGAGAATCCCCGGCGTGGGTTTAAGCCACCGGGTTCCGGACTGGAACCGCGGTCAACTATATGGGAGTCCAGTAACATAGCCATTATGTCAACTGCTCGCCTCCAGATCCTATACTTTACTTGGTATCAGTGCCTCCTGAGTCTTACTCTGCATTGCAGCTTGCACTTTTTCAGTCTCCTCTGAGTTTCTCTTCTTTTGCATGATGCTTAAATGTTTGGTTTTTTTTAGGGTTAATTCTTTGATTAATTCTCTGTTTTGTTTCCCTCTCTTTCTTTATTTTCTTCCTCTGTTTTGTACTGCGCTAGGTATTAGGGAAGCAGTTAGTATTCCTGAAGGCTGTCATCATGTGCTTGGCCTTCACTTTCTTTTTATACTGATGTCTCCTCAATCTTTATTTACAGTTCAGATTTTGTTTAGAGTTTCAGATTTTGATATCTTTAAACATCTCACTTCTGATATTCCCCAAACTGCACGTTTAATCTTTTCTACAAAACCTCTTCTTTTCTTACCTTCTTGGTTAATCATACAAGTTACTGTCAACCTAGTATTTAAATCACAAACCTTTAAATTCTTCTCATAATGTTCTTGGGTGATCAGGCAAGTAAAATCTTCTTGAAAGCATATTTTGGCATTTCATTTTTGACATGCTTGAAACCACACCAATCTCCCACCAACCAGTCTGTTCCTCATTTCTTTTTACCCAGGACAATTATATCTTCATCCTTCCAGTTTTATAAGCGAGGCATCCAAGATCTGTGGCTGATGTTTCTTTCTTTATCATTCTCCCATATTCAATATAAACTCGATTGTGCCTGCCGACTGTCTGTAGAAGCTGTCTGCTGCTTTTCCATTTTTGCTCTGATCAGTCCCGTTCAGGTTACATTTCTTCTACTGGAACCGCTGTTGTAGTTCCTACCTGGTCTGATGTATTCGTTTCACTGTCTTTTAAGTTGATTCTCCACTTTGCCGCCAGAGCAGTCTTTTCTGATGTGGAATCGTAGTAATAATAACTACATCTCCCACTCTTATTCTGAGTAAGTTAGCCTTTTAGTTTCTTGAAAACATATTTCTTTCCACCGTGAATACTTTGCACATGGTATTTTTCTTCATTACACATTCTTTTGTTTTTATATAGCCTAGTTATTTTATTGTTTTCCTCTTGTTCTTCATTTTCAGTGAGGATATTTTTCTTTTTATGGGTGGGAAAATAACTTTATTTAATTGGAGAATGGGTGTTTATCCAGGCTCAGAACTTCTGGAACTGCTTCTTGGTGCTGGCTGGTGGCCTTGGTGACCTTGAGCATGTTGAAGTGTACAGTCTTGCTCAGGGGCTGGCACTTGAGCACCATGGTGATGTCGCCAATCTGGGTGTCCCTGAAGCAGGGGACAGTGCACGGACATCTTGTGTCGCTTCTCGAAGTGATTGTACTTGGAGATGTAGTGGAGGTAGTCCCGGCAGATGATGGTGGTCCTCTGCATCTTTGTCTTGGTCATCACAGGGGACAGGATCTGTCCTTGAGTGGAGACATTACCAGTGAAGTGGCATTTCTTATCAATGTAGGCATCTTCAGTGGCTTCTCTGGGAGTCTTAAAGCCCAGACTGACGTTCTTGTAGTATCTTAGGAACTTCTTGCCAGTTTCTCCTAGCAGGACCCTCTTCTTTTTTCAGAAGATGGTCAGCTGCTTTTGATAAGCACACTTGGTCCGAATATCTGCCATCTTCCTAGCTGCCTGAAAAAAAAGAAATAAAAAAGCAAGGATATTTTTCTTGATCCAGTCAGATCCCCTCCTTACATTATATACTGTTACGATGTCTTACAGTTCTCTTTCATAGGCCTCTCTTGTAGGACTTCTCAAAACTCTTGTTTTTACATTTGTATTCTGGATTATTGGACTAAGGTCTGTCTTCCCTGATAGTCTGCCTCAGGGGGCAGAAGATAGACTTATTTCTGCTTCCCATTTTTATTCTTGGCACCTAGCATGATGTCACATAGGTTAGTGGATAGTCGACACTTAAATCGCTGGGCTCGCACGTTGTTGACTGATTCAGCCCCAGACCCCACAGCTTGAAACTCACGCTGGGCATGTGTGCATATGCGCCCCAAATCCCGAGAGGGATTGTGGCGCCAACCATCCCCCGGGAGGTGATATCTCGCTTTCTGTCTCTCTGGTGAGCACACATATCCTATAGCAAAAATCTCTCTCTCAAAAAAAAGGGCAGTTGTCTGAAATGAGACAATAGTATAAATCAGAGTTATATTTAAAGGCCACTGTCATGATTGTCACCTGAACCAGAGAACTGCTTTTGGATATCACACTCCAGTTCATGAACTTGGGATTCTTGTGGTTTTATGTGCATTATGTATAAGACGCAAATGGACTGATTTAACAACATTCTATTATTTAGTACAGGGAAGACCATTTGAAGTAAAAGAAATGTTTCTGGAAGATATTTTAAGAACGACTGGATATACGAACAAGGAAATGTTGAAGTACAAAAAGGAAAAGCAGCGAGGTAAGTTTTTTTTATCAAAGATACACAAAGCAATTACTATTAATTATTTTTTTGAGTACTCTAGCCTTAAGTTCTGGAGGTTGGTCTCTTGAAAGTGTCTTTCTCTTTGTGTAGAATTGTATAATACTATATTATAATATTGTCCCTATTGTATCTTTGCATTGTGATTTATGTCTTTTTTTAAACATTTTTTTTGGAGAGTTTTTCGCTATAGGGCGTGTGCGCTCGCCAGACAGAGAGAGACATAGAGACAGAAAGCGAGAAATCACCCCCCCAGGGGGGATGGTCACGCCGCAATCCCTTCTCCTCCATTCTCCTCTCGGGATCTTGGGCACGCATGCACACGCGCCCGGCGTGAGTTCTAAGCCACCGGGTGTGGGACGAGAACCGCGGTCAACTACGTGGGAGTCCAACGACATAGCCATTACGCTAACTGCTGGTTCCCTGATTTATGTCTTGAAGTTATTTTTAGTGGAGAGGAACGGAAAGTAGATGCCAAAGGTGAGGAAGTTGAGTATGTCTGTATCCAAAGATTCTTTAAAAAAAAATTTTTTTTCTGGTCTTGATAGTGTTGTGGGATTGTATTTGTACTTGGAGTTTAGCAAGTAGGCATTTGGATATGCCCTGTTAGTACATCCCTTGTAAAGACCTTTATTTTATCTCAACTTTTGAATTAAGATTTATGTTCCTTTTAAAAAATTTTTTTTTCACTTCATTATTCATTATAGAAAACATGGTTCAAGCTTTGTTTCCTTTGTTTACTCTGTATGACCTTGGACAAATACCTTAACTCTGGTTCTCTACTTGAAAAATGTAATTAGTAGCACCTTTGTCACTGTGAGTTGCTGATCACTTACATGTAAATTGTAAAACTACATTTTGAAATTGCTGAAGGTGAAAATTACATGTAATTGTGTCTTAAACAACTGAGATGGTGGTAGAAATTTAATAAATAATTCCTATAAAGTATAATTTGAATATTGTCATTGATTTTAGTAATATTTATAATATGGATAAAAATGTACTTTTTTTTTTTTTTTTTTGCTGTAGGGTGCATGTACTCACCAGAGAGAGGCAGAGAGAGAGAAGAGAGAGACTGTGAAATCACCCCTGAGGGGGGATAGCCATACCACAATCCCTTCTCTTCCATTCTCCTCTCAGGATTTTGGGCATGCATGCACAAGTGCCCGGTGTGATTTTTCAAGCTCCTGGGTCTGGGACTGAACTGGAACTGTACCAGCAGCCATGTGGGATCCAGCCGCCTTAACCTCCATGAGACCTCATGGCCCAAATACATGAGATTTTTAAGCAGTTTTGTGTGTCCTTATGGTTTAGGGTAACACATTTATTCAATATTTGTAATTAATATATCTTAAAATAACTGTAGAGTGAGACGAACTTTGAAGTAATATCAGATTTACTTAATTTTTTAAAACAAATGCATATCAGAGGGACCAGCAGTTAGCGTAATGGCTATGTCGCTGGACTCCCACGTAGTCGACTGCGGTTCGAGTCCCGGACCCGGTGGGTTAAACTCACACTGGGTGCGTGTGCATGTGTGCCCAAGATCCCGAGAGGAGAATGGAGGAAAAGGGCTTGTGGCATGGCCATCCCCTCTGGGGGGTGATTTCTCGCTTTCTGTCTCTATGTCTCTCTGTCTCTGTCTGTTTGGTGAGTGCTCGCGCCCTATAGCAAAAACCTCTCCAAAAAAGAAAAAAAAACAAATACAAGAAAAAACAAATGCATATCAGAAAGGAATGCATTTATCGACCTATTCTTTCTTTGGTAATTAATTTAGAGGAGAAACAACAAACCACACTTACAGAGTGGTACTCAGCTCAGGAGAATACATTCAAGCCTGAATCTCAGAGGCAGAGAAGTGTTCCCAGTGTGACTGAAGAGTATGATTTACTGGATGATGGTGGTGATGCTGTCTTCAGCCAGTTGGTAAGACCTCAGTGATTTCACACTAACGTGTGTGTGTGTATTGTGTATGTGTGTGTGTATATATGTGTGCGTATATATATATATTTATATTTGTGTATGTATATATGTATTTTTTTAAGTTTGCTTATGTCTTTTGTGAGCGAGAGACAGAGAGAGGGAGAGAAAAACAGCATGCTCAGTAGGGTCTCAGGTCATAGCCCATCTCCCTGCTCCCCCCTCCAGCAGATCACAGTATGTCGTGCTACTGCTGCACCGCCACAGGTAGGTCTCACTGATACATATGTTTTTAAAAATAATTATTTATTTTTTTTTCACATGAGTTTTGACAGAGAGAGAGAGAAAGAGAGAAAAAGCAAGCTGCCACTCAAACCGCAGTTGACCATGTGGGAATTCTAGCGCCTTAACCACCACACCATCTGCTGGCCCGATATTTTGAATGAAAATTGTGTAGAATGAAATTTTTATGAGATTATCATTTTTATTGAATAAACTTTAGGGTGATTCTCTTAGTTTATCTCAGATTACAAAATATTTTTTAAAACTTTCTTTTATTTAGGAAAAGATTTTAACTGTTTTTGAACGTGAGAAGGTATGCAAATACAGATATATTTGTAGTTTTCTATCCTTGTTAAAGTTCATATTCATCCAAATTAAATACAGACCTTTTTTAAAAAGAAGTTTTGCCTTAGGGTGTGTGTGCTCCCTGGTGAAGAGAGAGAGAGAGAGAGAGACAGACAGACAGACAGACAGACACACAGACATAATGAGAAGGAAAGTGAGAAACCCCCTCCTGGGGGGATGGTCATGCTGCAGTTCCTTCTCTTTCATTCTCCTCCTAGGAGCTTGGGCCCACATGCACATGCACCTGTCATGATTTTCAAGCCAGCAGGTCTGGGGCTCAAACCATAGTTGACCAGGCGGTGGTCCACTGTGCCATTTGCTGGTCCCAAAGTATGCGTGAGTTTTCAAATATACTTAAGTACAATTTTGTGCTTGCCCCAGAGAGACAGAGAAATAGAGAGGAGAAGTTAGATCTCACCCACCCAGAGGAGGGCCATGCTGCAATCTCTTCTCCTCCATTCTGATATTTTGGGCACATGCACACACACACCTGGTGTGATTTTTCAACCCTGTGGGTTTGGAACTCGGAACAGGATTTGGCCGTGTGGGAGTCCAGTGCCTTAATCACCATGCCACCTGCTGGCCCCATTAAACATATTTTTAACAAATGTTTAAAATCGTTATGTAGTATAAGGATGATTCATTTAAGTCAGTAAACAGCATTTGACCATGTAAAGTAGTGGTTCTTAAGCCTGGTCACACATTACATTGCCTGAGGAGCTTTTTAAAATTTTTTAAAAAAATGTTTGTGCCTTGGAAACCAGCAGTTGGCGTAGTGGCTATGTCGCTGGACTCCCACATGGTCGACCGTGGTTCGCGTCCCGGACCCGGTGGCTTAAAAAACTCATGCTGGGCGCGTGTGCATGCGTGCCCAAGATCCCGAGAGGAGAATGGAGGAGAAGGGATTGCAGCGTGACCATCCCCCCTGAGGGGTGATTTCTCGCTTTCTGTCTCTCTGTCGCTCTCTGTCTGTCTGGCAAGTGCACGTGCCCTATAGCAAAAACCTCTCCAAAAGAAAAAAAAAGTTTGTGCCATAGGGCACATGTGCTTATCACAGAAATACAGAGAAAGGTAAAGTGAGAATTCCCTCTGGGGAGGATGGCCATGCTGTAGTCCCTTCTCTTTCATTCTCCTTTTGTGATATTGGGCACTCATGTACATACACCCGAAGTGATTTTCCTTTTTCTGTTTCAAATAATTATTTTATTTACCTTTATTTATTTTAATTTGACCAGAGAATGACAGAGAGAGAGAAAGTGAGAAAGCAAGCCTCCAGGTCTGGGACTTGAACCGTGGTGGGCTATGTGGGAGTCCAGCGCCCTTAATAACCATGCCACCTGCCGACCCTACCTGACATTTTCAAACCTATGGTCTGGGGCTCAAAATGTGGTTGACTGTGTGGGAATCTAGCGCCTTAACCACCACAATACCTGCTGGCCCCACATGAGGACCTTTTAAAGCTCAGTGAAATCTAGTCTCCTAACACCAGGGATTCTGATATTTCTAATCCGAGTTGGGACCTGGCATCAGTCTTAAAAAGCTGTAGATAATGCTTATTGTGATACGCACTTGGGAGAACCACTGGCGTACAGGAATATGTCGTAATAGTGCAGGCTAGCTTGGTGGTAAGGCCTGGTGGGTAAGGCAGCTGGATCCCGTATGGCTGACCCTGACAAACACTCGGGCGTGTGCACATACGTGTCCGAAATCTTGAACAGAGGGAAAGGGAGGAGAAGGGGTGTGACCGTTCCCTGTTTCCTCTCTCTTTCTCTCTCTGTTGCTGTCATGTGAGTACATGGGCCTCTAGCAAAAAAATAAAAACAGGGACCAGCAGTTGGTGTAATGGCTATGTCGCTGGACTCCCATGTAGTTGACCGTGGTTCACGTCTCAGACCTGATGGCGTAAACTCACACGTGCGTGCGCGTGTGTGCCCAAGATCCTGAGAGGAGAATGGAGGGGAAGGGAATGTGGTGTGGCCATCCCCCCTGGGGGGCGATATCTCGCTTTCTGTCTAATCGCCTCTCTCTTTCTGGCGAGGGCACGTGCCCTATAGCAAAACTTCTCCAATAAATTAATAAAACAAACAAACAAAAACAAACACAAAACCATTTCTCTCAGTAGCATAGCTAGTTAATGTTGTCATATTGTGACTGGATCATAGTTCTTTGTTGGCAAGCTCATTCTCAGATAAAGGGTGAATGTAGGAACATAATATATTGGGTTGTCAGAAAAGTCATAACCATGATTTTGCATAGAAAAACAGAAAAAATTCGACATGATTTTTCCAACAATCTAGTAGTATCGTGAGTGATGTTTGTGATTAGAAACTATTATGTCAAAATCTTTGCTCTAGGATGATATGATTAGAGTTCTTGTGGTCATTGTGGCTGTCTTACATACTTTGTAAGCAAATGTTAAGCTGCTAGGTTATTTATTTTTCAGAGATTTTTGCTGTAGGGTACATGCGCTTGCTGGATAAAGAGAGACAGAGAGAGAGACAGAAAGCAAGAGATCACCTCCTGGGGCAATGCCCGTCGCCTCCATTCTTCTCTCAGGATTTTGGGCACATGTGCACACATGCCCGGCATAAGTTTCCAGCTGCTGGGTCAGGGACTCGAACTGTGGTTGGCCATGTGGGAGTCCAGGGATGTAAGTATTATGCCATCTATTGGTTCCTGCTAGGTAATTTATAAACTTTGTGCTTTTTAATTTTTTTCCTTTAAAGACAGAAAAAGATGTGAATTGCCTTGAACCATGGCTAATAAAAGAAATGGATGCTTGTCTCTCTGACATTTGGCTGCATAGAGATGTTGACGCCTTTGCTCAAGTCTTTCACCTTATTTTAACTGAAAATGTTAGTGGTAAGTTTATTTAAGAATTTAAAATTACTCTCGGAGTTATTTATGGTAAAAGTATAGTTTAATTCAAAATACATGTACTCCATATTTTGGTTCACAGCTAATAATTTGATCTTTTTGAGTACTTTTACTTTAAATGAACAAATCAGGATTTTCTTACTAGCAGAGCATAGTAGAATAAATAAATATGTTGTAAAGTCGGATTCTATCCAGTGTCTCCAGGATAATGCCCTAATGTCTGTGAATGTATGACTTTATGTACAGAAATGTTCTTGTGTATATATTGTACCCATACATACACTTGGTCCTTCCCCATCTCGGCTTGGGAGGGAAGATTTTCTTAGACTCAGAAAGATTTGTGATTTCAAATAAAGGAAAAGTTATTAACGATTGCTGTATATTATCCATTTAGTCAATGAAAAATTTTAGCATACCTTTAGTTACATTTGTCGATCTTCTAATTGACATGTACATACTTTGCATCATGTGACATATATTTTCACTGGTTTCGTTGATATGGTGCATGATTGCCAACATACAATCAGAGGTGAGTTTCAGAACCCTGGGGGGCCTCTAGGCAAAAGGCAGAACGGAACTTGTAGGCCAGCACTGCGGAGGACTTAGACGTCAGGTAGCTCTGGTCCTGCACCTCCCTCAGCCTGCTCTTCCCTCACTGTTCCCTGTTCAGGGAATGGGCACCGTCATTTACCTTGTTACTGAGGCCACAGAGCAGACAGAACCGTCCTGGACTTTGTTCCTGCACTCCACACACATGCCCTTAGCAGGTCGCGTTGGCTGTCCCTGCTGAGTGAAATTCTGAGTCTGACCACCTTTCGTCCCCTTGCTTTGCCTACCTAGTCCACGGCCACGCTCTTTCCTGAACTGTCACAGTAGCACACTAATTGCTTCTGCTGTTATGGTATGGGTTCTCTTCTCCATAGAGCAATCAGATTGATCCTTCATTCTTTCTTTCTTCTTTTTTTTTTTTTTTTTTTCAATTGCCAGAGGGTTTGTGGGCTTTCGAAGAGAGACAGACAGATAGACCAAAAGGTGGAGAGAAAAAGCACTCCCCCAGTGGGGGCATGGTCATGCCACCATCTGTTCTCTGCTTGTCCATCCAGCTGGGATTATGGGCACACGTGCTTGGCATCGTTTTCTTTCCCTTTTTTTAAAGAGTTATTTTATTTAACTTTATTTTATTTACTTATTTAAATTTGATCAATGAGGGACAGAGCGAGCAAGAGAGAGAGAATGAGAGAACAAGCTGCCAGGTCCAGGACTTAAACCGTGGTTGGCCTTGTGGGAGTCCAGCGCCCTTAACCACCATGCCACCTGCCGGTCAACCTGGCATGGTTTACAAGCCTCTGGTGCTGATATTTGAACCACAGTCAGCCATGTGGGCTCTAGTTCCTTTAACTACTAGGCTGTAAGGCTGGGCCCAGATCGTTTTGTTAAAAAATAAAATAATAATTTATATTTAATTTTAATCTGTTATATTTTAATTTGCCCTAGGGTACATGTGCTTACCAGAGTGAGTGAGAGAGAGAGAGAGAGAAAAGGAAAGTGAGAAAGCAAGCCACCAGGCCGAGGACTTGAATTGCGATTGGCCATCTGGGAGTCCAGCACCTTAACCACCATGCCACCTGCTGGCCCCCAGACTGATTCTTTTAAAAAGGGAATTGGATTGTGCTACTTGCTCGCTCTCGACTCTTCCATGCTTCTGATTGTGTGAACAAAAACCGAAGTCCTTTCTCTGGCTGAGTCCCGGGCTGCCTTTTTCATCTCATTTTCTACCGCTCTCCTATTCGCTGTGCTTTAAGGCACATCGACGTTCTTGCTGTTCTTCACATGCTGGCACATTCCCATCTTTGAGCCTTTGTTCTGTTTACCATGCCTGGAGTACTGTCCCCACAGATGCTCCTGTGGCCCAGCACCTACTTCATTTAGGTTCTCTGCATGGGCATTGCCGCCTCGGGGAGGCCTTTGCTGGCTGCCTTATTAAAAGTGTACCCTTTCTCCAGTATTTCTTCTTAACCTGGTTTCTAAACATCTTTATGTGTTTTACTGCCTGAAATAGATTTTTAGTTTTTATTACCTGTCATATCTACGAGAATGAAAACTACAGGAGGGTAGAAACTTTGTTTTCTTATCACAGTATCTCCCGGAGGTTTATAGTAAGTGTTCAAAAATAATTGTTGGGGCTAGTCCATAGTGTGGGGGTTAAGGTGACTAGATCCCACTTGGTCAAATGCACATTTTAAATCCCAGACTTGGTAGCTTGAAAAACATGCCAGGCACATGTGTGCCCAAAATCCTGAATGGAGGGAGAAAGGGAGAAGGGATTGTGGTGTGGCCATGCCCCATTGGTCTGAGTTCCTTGTCCCTGGCAAGCACAGGTGCCCTCTGGCAATTAAGAGACTGAAACACTTAAAAGATAAAGCGTGTTTATTTTCATGAAAAAAAAAATGTAAATCTGCGTATAAAGTTTTCTGTTATTTGTTTTGTCAGAGGGTGTGTGCGCGCTTGGTGGAGAGGACACTCTGCCCCCTGTGGAGAATGGCCATGGCACAATCATTTCTCTCCCATTTTCCCCTCCTTTTCAGATTGTGAGCACACATGCATATGCACCTGGCACATTTCTCTAGCCACCAGATTTGAGACTCAAACTGCGAGGGTGGCCATCGTGAGAGCTAGCTGCCTTAGCCACCATGCCTTGGGCTGGCCCACAGTTTTTGTAATATGCGTTTCAGGCACATGTGTGCCCAAAATCCTGAATGGAGGGAGAAAGGGAGAAGGGATTGTGGTGTGGCCATGCCCCATTGGTCTGAGTTCCTTGTCCCTGGCAAGCACAGGTGCCCTCTGGCAATTAAGAGACTGAAACACTTAAAAGATAAAGCGTGTTTATTTTCATGAAAAAAAAAATGTAAATCTGCGTATAAAGTTTTCTGTTATTTGTTTTGTCAGAGGGTGTGTGCGCGCTTGGTGGAGAGGACACTCTGCCCCCTGTGGAGAATGGCCATGGCACAATCATTTCTCTCCCATTTTCCCCTCCTTTTCAGATTGTGAGCACACATGCATATGCACCTGGCACATTTCTCTAGCCACCAGATTTGAGACTCAAACTGCGAGGGTGGCCATCGTGAGAGCTAGCTGCCTTAGCCACCATGCCTTGGGCTGGCCCACAGTTTTTGTAATATGCGTTTCCACGAACTTTAGGAGCCCTCTCATAAATGAGGGTTCTTTTTTTTTTTTTAAAGAATTATTTATTTAATTTAATTTATTTATTCGTTTATTTTAATTTAATTTGACCAGAGAGAGACACAGGGAGAGAGAGAAAGAGAGAGGGGATAGGAGAAAAAGAAGGCCGCCAGGTCCAGGACTTGAACTGTGGTCAGCCATGTGGGAATGTCCAGCGCCTTAACTACCACACCACGGTTCTTTTACACTTTTTGCTCATTATAAGTGTATTTTGGTTCCTGTTGATATACTTTTTTAAAGCTTACTTTTTGAAAAATAATTGATCTGTATTTTGAAAAGTAATTATTTGTAAGTGTTCAGTATTTGTTCATGTTCAGTTTTCTGATATCCTTTTTTCCTCTCTCTTTTCTTTTCCTTTCTTTTCTTTTCTTTTCTTTTCTTTTCTTTTCTTTTCTTTTCTTTTCTTTTCTTTTCTTTCTTTCTTTGTTTTTGCCATATGGCATGTGCACTCTTTGGAGAGAGACAGTGAGAAGGAATATGAGTTATCACCCCCAGGGCGATGACCATGCTGCAGTCCCTTCTCTTCCATTCTCCTCCTGGAATTTAGAGCACTCACACACAGGCACCCGGCATGAGTTTCAAGCTGCCAGATTTGGGATTTAAATTGCAGTTGTGTAGATAGATAGATAGATAGATAGATATTCATTTAGTTAGTTAGTTAAATTAGAGAGGGATAGAATGAGAAAGAGAGAAGGAAAGTGAGAAAGCAAGCCACCAGGTCTGGGACTCAAACCGCATTTGGCCATGTGGTAGCCCAATGCCTTTAACCACCATGGCATCTGCTGGCCCCAATATTTTAAAATACTTACTCTGAATGAGTTTAGCATTTGTGCTTGAACGTTAAGATGTAAAGTCTAAGGCATGTTGCTTAGAAATATTTATTAGCTATTTTAGATATTTAAATATTATCTTCCTAGATATTTATTTTTTGGTGTGTGTGTGGGGGGAGAGGGTGCTTTTTTCATATCAAGAGTTTAATTTCTCTTTTTTTAAATTGCCAGAGAAGGTGTGCAGTTGTATGTGCACTCACGGGTAGGAGACCATCCCATTAGGATTTGGAGCATGCACATAGACACATACACACACGTGTACTTTATGTTTTTCAAGTTGCTGGGAACAGGATTTGAAACATGGTTGGTTATATGGGATCTGGCTCCCAATGCACTTGCTTCATCACTACATTAGGGCTGACCCTTCCTAAATGTCTCTTTAGTGAATACTGGACTATTACATTCGTAATGGTCACCCTGTGAACCCAAGTCTCTCCTCTCCTTTCGTGTTTAGTTTATCAATTCTCTTTAGTCCAGAATATTTAAGCCATAAAAAGAAAATAGGAAAGAATGTTATGGTAACTCTGTGAACAGTTGCTCACATCCCATCTTTTTATTTTTCTTCTAAAATCTCCACTCTTATTTGGTGTTGGAGTTGAAAATATTTCATGTGATCCAGGAAACCATGAGCTTCATAGAATTCTTTTTAGTACAGTCGTTTTGTCCATGTGATTTTGAAGAAGCAGCGAATAATTAGTAAGACTGGGAGTCTTTGTCACGCTCACTGGACTAGTCATCTATTGTTACGTGACAAATGACTCCAGATGTAATAGCCTAAAACATGAAGTTTCTGAGAGTCAAGAACCTGCTTCCTAGTCTCTCATGAAGTTTCATTTAAGGTAAGGGCTGTAGGTCATCTCTAGGTTCTTAGGGCCGGTGGATCTGCTTTTGAGAGCACTTACTCAGTGGTTGCTGGCAGGAGGCCTCAGTTCGTTTCTGGTTTTGACAAGGGCCTCAGTTGCTCGTCATCCAGGCCACTCCACAGGGCTCTCTTATTCTCCCCGTGATTCAGCAGCTGACTTCTCCAGGGGTGGTAGCAAAATGGGTGGTCCTTCCAAAAAGCCAAAAGCCAGTTAAAAGATAAAAACACACATCATTACACATTTGTTTAAACCTGCAGATTCTGCAGTCCCATGGGGGAACCCTGAGGTATACTTTGGACTTTGGGTGACAGTATGCCAGTGTAGACTGGTCAGTTGTAACAAGTGTACCACTTTGGTGGGATCTGTTGATAATGGAGGAGGCTATGCATCGTTAGGGTAGGTCATACATGAGACATCTCTCTGTACCTTCCTCAGTTCTGTTATGAACTCAAAACTGCTCTAACATCTTTTTAGAAAAGCATGAGGGGGACCAACAGTTAGCATAATGGCTATGTCGCAGGACTCCCATGTAGTCGACCGTGGTTCGTGTCCCGGACTTGGTGGCTTAAAACTCATGCCGGGCGCGTGTGCATGCGTGCCCAAGATCCCGAGAGGAGAATGGAGGAGAAGGGACTGCAGCGTGGCCATCCCCCCTGGGGGGTGATTTCTTGCTTTCTTTCTCTCTCTGTCTTTCTGGCAAGTGTACGTGCTCTGTAGCAAAAACCTCTCCCCACCAAAAAAAGGAAACAAAGGTAAACAAGCATGAGGTACTACTCTTATAAGTCCCCTTCCCACTTTAAAACCACTGATTTAGGGCCAGCCAGGTGGTGTGATTGTGAAGGTGGCTAGATCCCACATGGCTGACTGTGCAATTTGAGTCCCAGACCTGGCGGCTTGAGAAACATGCCAGGCACGTGTGCGTGTGTGACCAGAATCCTCAGAGGAGAGTAGAGAAGGGACTGTGGCACGGTCATCCACTGGGGAAGGGTTACTTTCTCACGTTCTGTCTCCCTCCCTCACTGGTGAGTTTCACATGGCTGATAGCAAGTTAAACAAACAAAACCCCACTGATGTATATCGATAATGGGTATCATGTGATAGTTTTATTACATAATGAATATAACTGAGTATATATGGAAAATTATTTTTTTCCTTTTGTAATTATCTTAAAATTTACCACTGAGATTTTTTTCCAGGGATGAATTCCTTTTTAAACGAACAATTTTGAAATTGAAGCAAATTAGTGCTAAGTAATCATATTGACTTGCTTAAGAAATATATTCTAGGAAGGAACTTGAATAGAGCTGTCATTATTTTTCTCATAGAGGGGAACAGCAGAGAGGGAACATGAGGAAGCACTGACCTCGCTCCCTCCTTTCAGGGTTTTGGGAATGAAAACATACATATCTGGAGTGTGTTTCCATCAGCCTGGTCTGGAACTTGAACTTCACAGTTGCTGTGTGGTATCTAGCGGCCCTAACCCCGGACTACAGGCTGGTCCATATTGCCGTGTTGTTTTGCTTTTGCCCCCCATCGTTTTAGGCCACTGTTTCCCAAGATGCTTCACGAGGCTTGCCAGGATCTAGGAGACACGTGTACACGTCTGGAGTACTTTCAGGCTAACTTGGGGATCTGAACCTGCAGTCGGCCTGTGGTGTTGAGCATTGTAGTTCAGTTTGCTCCTAATTGTGCCACCAGGCTGGAACCCCCGCCCCACCTCTTATTTTATTTATTTATTTATTTGCAATTTCAGTGAGGGAGAGAGCAGGAGAGAGCATCTAAGTGTGTACGTGAGGAAGTGCGTGTGTGGAGTAGGTATGCTTGATAGCCTTGTCGCGTCATGCTCTTTTTGCCATGTGGCCCTGTGTCTGCCTTGTTCATGTCGGGCCAGGAACCAAGCCTGCCTCTCCCATGCAGCCTCAGCCACTGCACAGCAGTACCCTCCTGCTTGCACCATCATGGCTGGGTCTGAAAATTAGCTTTTTTTAAAAAAAGGAATCATTTTATTTAACTTTATTTACTTGAATTTGACCAGAGAGGGTCAGAGTGGGGGTGGGGTAGCTGGTGAGAAAGCAAGCCGCCAGGTCTGGGATACAGACCGCAATTGGCCGTGTGGGAGTCCCGCACCCACAGCCACTTTGCCGCCTGCTGGCCCTGAAAGTTAATTTTCTAATTCTTTAATTATGTGTTACTACTTGATGATTAAAGTAATACCTAGATTTAGGAAGGTTATTTAAGGTTCTACAAGTTAGTTACTTTGCTTTTCTGGTAAAAAGTATCTTAATGAGTATCTTTAATCTTCTCCTGCCTTGTATCTGACAGCCTTACCATGCTGTTTATACAAAGTGCTGTTTACACTTCAGTAACAAATTCCTTTGGGTGATCTGAATAAAGGGTTATATAATGGTATAGCATGCATGTAGTTAAAGGAGCAAGTCCAAAGTTAATTCTGCCTTTTAAATTAAAAAAAATTAAAGTGGTCTGAATAACTCAGAGGTGACGGTCTGTCTCCATTCTCCGTGTCAGTGGATTACAGGCACAGTGAGACCAGTGCCACAGCTCTGATGGTTGCTGCAGGTCGGGGTTTTGCAAGTCAGGTGGAGCAGTTGATTAGCATGGGAGCCAACGTCCATAGGAAAGCGTCCAACGGCTGGTAATGTACACTATGTCCTTCTTCGTGTATCTTTCTGTAGTCACATTAAAAACAATCTCTGATGTTTGTCTGTATGTTAAAAGCTGTAATTGCTGGTACATCTCTAATGGGTGAATAAAAATTTTGAGTGACTAGTTTTATAATTTTAAGGATATTATTTCTTTGTCTCAGTGTGATGTCTTTGAATTTTGGCAGGATGGCTTTAGATTGGGCTAAACATTTTGGGCAGACCGAAATTGTGGATCTTCTAGAATCTTACAGGTAAAACTTTATATAATTTTTTTTTTTTTTTTTGAGAGGTTTTTTTTGCTATAGGACGTGTGTGCTCACCAGACAGACGGAGAGGGACAGAGAGACAGAAAGCGAGAAATCACCCCCCCCAGGGGGGATGGCCACGGCACCATCCCTTCTCCTCTATTCTCCTCTCGGGATCCTGGGCACGCACGCACACGCGCCTGGTGTGAGTTTCAAGCCACCGGGTCCGGGACGTGAACCATGGTCGACTACGTGGGAGTCCAGTGACATAGCCATTACGCTAACTGCTGGTCCCTGTATAATTTTTAATTAACTCTCTTTTTAAAACTATAATCATAGGCAGGTAGAGTATAGAATATATAAATGTAGGCTATTTACAATCTCTTAGCCAGAGGTTTCTTTTGTAATGCTAAGGGCTTTTTCTGTCTGATTTTTTAGGTTGTTAGTATGTTTCACTATTTGTCTTATTTTGAAAAATCGAGAGGGAATGTCCACTTTAACATGGTAGATTCAACATATGTATTTATCTCTGCGTTTCCCTAAAACCTCATTAAAAGACAATGACGGAATAGCAAAGGTATAAACTGGGCCCAGCAGGTGGGTGGTGGTTAAGGTGCTGAACTTCCACATGACTGACCGTAATTTGAGTCCTGGACCTGGTGACTTGAAAATCATGCTGGCATGTGTGTGTGTGTGCCCAGAATCCTTGGAGGAGAATGGAGGAGGAGGGATTTTAGTGTGGCCATCTTCTCTGATGGGTGATTTCTCACTTTTCCTCTCACTGTTCCCCTCTCTGGCTAGTTCATGCACCCTTTGACGAAAATCTTAGGGGAAAAAAAAGTATGAACTGACAGTGAGCATGGAAGAGCTGGAGGAGGACATGGCGACTGTCGGATGATAGTAGTACATGTTTCAGTGAGCTGATTGATCAGTGGTGATTCACTTAGCAGAACTAAGAAAACGTCATTGAGGGTGCCAGTGAGAAACAGGCTACCTTTAGAGCTTTCTAAAGACTCATTCAGCTACCTTGGAATGAAGCAGTGAAAGATAGAGCTACCAAAAGTAGCAGAATGGGTTGAAATCCTCTGTGATGAACAGGTAGTGCTCCCAGTCCCCTTCTGGGCCATGAGATAATATTCCTTCCCCACCTTGGCAGGAAACAGGAGGTATCCTTTAAAAATTAAGCCATTGAGGCTTTGATTTGGGGTTGTCAGACACAACGGCAGAGCAGGGCTAAAGTGTCAACCAAAAAATGGGTTTGAACATTAGGATACCATCTACTCCCTTTCCCCGCCATTCCCACTTAAAGTTTATGCTCTTTGGCAGAAAATTTGAGAATTGTTTTCCGGAAAAATAGTCCAAACCTAGAGAAATGATTTAGAATTATTGGAGGTTTGATGTTCCTTCGGTTAAATGACCATCTTTAAAGCAGGTGATTCAACAATCTCCACCTCTGTATGTGAATATTTTGGTGCTTCACTCTTCAAAATGAACCCATCTGCCAAGGATTGATCACCATACATGTGAGAGGGAAAGCACCCACAAATCAAACAAATAAAACAAATAATAGTGCCAACAGAAAACCCTGGAACTTCAATGCAACTGAGTCATGAGTAACCAGGAGAAAACAAAAACAAAACTCGACCAGCAGGTGACATGGTAGTTAATGCAGTTGGATGCCACATTTAAGTCCTAGATCTGGAGGCTTGAAATACATGATGGGGAGGCCAGCAGGTGGTGTAATGGTTAAGGTACTGGATTCCCACATAGCCAGCCGTGGTTCATGTCCTGGACCCAGCAGCTTGAAACTCATGCCTGGTGTCTTTGTGTCCCCAAAATCCCAAGAGGAGAATGGAGAAGGGATTGTAGCATGACCATTGCCCCTGGGGGGAGATTTCTTGCTTTTTGTCTGTCTCCCCAGCAAATGCATGTGCCCTCTGCCAGAAATCTGTAAAAATAAACACACACACACACACACACACACACACACACACACACACAAAGGGTGTGTGTATGCCCCAAATCCTGAGGTGAGAGTGGAGGAGAAAGAATTATAGCATGGTCCGCACCGCCCCCAACACGCACCCAGGCGGTGGGGGGGGGGGGGGGGCGCTTTCTCACTTTCTCCCTCTCTGCCTCTCTGCCTCTCTCTGCCAAGGGCACATGCCCTATAACAAACTAAAAAGCAAACGACCCCCCCGCCCCACACACACACGTAGAAGTGATTGCATTTATGAAACAAAATAGTCTTCTGTAAAATAGAATGTTTATGCACATGTCATCTTCATTGGGCCCACCTACACTTACCCTATTTAATACTGCAGTCGACCTCTCCCGCCTGTTCATCCTCCTGAACCCATTATACTTGTGCCATAGAACGCACCACTTTCTCATAAACTCTAAAGTTCCTTATTCACTGTTTTCATTGATTTATCATCTTTCTCTTCCTACTAGAATCTAGTGAGCTTCTTGTCTCCTTTGAAAACAGTGCCTGGATGTAATAGATGTCCAGGGAATATTTGTTGAATGAATGAATAATCAAGAAAGAGCTCTTACAAATTCAGATGTGGTAGCAGAAAATAAATTCAGTGCTGGCTCTGTAGTGCAGTGAGTAAAGTACATTATGAGCCAAGCCCCACATGGCTGTCCATGGCCTGGCCCTGATGGCTTGAAAAACATGCCAGGCGCATGTGTATGCTTGCCCAGGATCTTGAAAAGAGGGAGAACTGAGGGCAGAGGACAAAGGGGATTTCAGTGTGACACACCTCAGTGGGAGTGCTTTCTCCCATTCTCTGTCTTTCTGGTGAGCGCATGCTCTCAGTGGCGGTTAAGTTGTGAAAGGGTTGCATGGTAAGGTTGAAGAGAATTGCTTCCAAAGTAGGAAAAATAGATCAGAAATGGAATATTGTAGAGAAAAGATAGGTTTTACTCTTTATCAGAAAAGCATTGGAGAAGAATGTGCTCAACAAAAATTAAAAAAAAGTAAAGAAACAAAAAATAGTAGGAACACGAACCTATTGGCAGCTCAAGACAGGACAAAATTCTAAGATGTTTCTCCAAAGCCTAGGAGAAAATCAGCAATGTTTTAATCAAAAGTCATAAAATGCTATTTCACCAGTTCAGTCTCAGGTACGTAATCTATCTTCTGTTGTGGTCCAATCTTCCTGACTAAATTCTGGGATATAATATTCAACTCCAGACTTGTCCCTACGATTAAGTTGGTCATTTTCTTAGTTTCTGCACTCTTATTTTTGTGTGTCTGCATTTAATTTTCCTGGTATAGCACTTCCTTAAGAACTTCTTGGAGATCGGATCTGGTGTTGGTAAATAATTTCAGGTTTTGTCTATCTGAGAATGTTCGTGTCTTTTCCCATACGAAGGATAATCTTACTGGATATGGTATTCTTGGTCGAAATTGCTTTTCCCTGAGCACTTTGAATATATTTTCCCATTCTTTCCTCGCTCGCATTGTTTCTGATGTGAGGTCCACTGTCAGCCTGATGGGATACCCTTTGTAGGTAACTTGACGTTTCTTTCTTGCTGATATTAGTATCTTGTCTTTGTCTTTGTAGTTTTGGTCAATCTGGCTATAATGTGTCTTGGACATGAGGTCCACTGTCAGCCTGATGGGATACCCTTTGTAGGTAACTTGACGTTTCTTTCTTGCTGATATTAGTATCTTGTCTTTGTCTTTGTAGTTTTGGTCAATCTGGCTATAATGTGTCTTGGACAAGATCTTCTTGGGTTGATTCTACTTGTATTCCTTTGTATTTCTTGGAACTGGATCTTTGAGTGCCTCTCCAGATTTGGAAAATTTTCTTACAGGATTTCATGGAATAGATTATCAATGCCCTTATGAGTCTCTTCACCTTCTGGGATACCAGTTATCCAGATGTTTGGACGTTTGATGATATCTAGTACTTCTCGTATATTATTTTTCTTTTTTTTTTTTGAGCAGTTTTTCTCAGTCTTGGTGGATTTTTCTAAGCCAGTGATTCTATCTTCTATATCTGAGATTGGACTTTCTGTATGATCTAGTCTGCATTTAATACTTTCAAGGGAGATTTTGACTTCCTGTATTACAGCCTTCATCTCTAACAGATCCATTTGATTCTTTTTGTATGTATTTTCTCTTTTAGATCTTATAAGAATTTTCTCACCTCCTGGAACTCATCAACTCCTTTCTCATGCCTCTTCTGCAGTTCATTGTCTCTCTTCTCTTCCAGCTCTGTTAGCTTTGTCACTATGAATATCCTAAATTCTTTACCTGACATTTCTGTTGTGAGTTTCATACTACTGTCTGAGGATGAAGAGGAGTTATTCTTTCCCTTGGAGGAGAGGTATTTTCTTGCTTTTCCATATTTCTGTGACCCTGCAGTGATTCTAGTCATCTGATGGATGGTGCATTTCTTCCTAATTCTTCAAGTTCAGTCTGAATCTCTATGCACTGTGTCTAAACAGGTACAAGTGAACAGGATCCAAACATCTGAATACTCTTAGGGTCAGAATATTCCGCTTTTTCCACTGAATCTGATGCACAAAGAATGAAAACGGAACAGAAGAGAGATAGCAGATCACCTCCTTCTGTACGCCTCTGAACGCTCAGACTGATTCTGAAGCTCAGCAGAAAGTCTTGATTTTTGGTCAAGGAAAGCATTACTTCATAGCTCAAGTTCTGTATCCATCTCAGCCTTATAGATCATTTGTATATTCCCTTTGAAGATATGTCTTTTGATTGTGTTTTTCTTAAAACACTTACTGCCAAGTTTTACTTTCAATATTATGCTTGAAACGTGAATTAAAACTAGAACATTGTCACTTACCTTATAAGGCATACTGGAAATTAGAAGACAGTCTTAGAATAATTGGCCTTTATAGGTTACCATTTTTGATAATAATTGATCTTTTCTTTTTAGTGCTTCATTGGAATTTGGAAATCTTGATGAAAGTTCTCTGGTCCAGACAAATGGGAGTGACCTCAGTGCAGAAGACAGAGAGCTCCTGAAAGCTTATCATCATAGTTTCGATGATGAAAAAGTAGACTTGGACTTGATCATGCATCTTCTATATAATGTCTGCCATAGTTGTGATGCCGGTAAATAAATATTGTCTAAAAGAACTGGATGGAAATATGTAATTTGATTTAAAATTAATATTTTGAATGTATAAGCTTTTATATAATTGCATTGATGCAATGTATGAAGTATCTCTTATGTCATCTTAAAATTTTTTTTACCAGTACTTGAAAATATATAGTTCTTTATAATTTGTCTTGTTGATTACCTCTTATTTTACAGTGAGATTTAATATTAAAAAATTATTCTTCTTCAAGGTGCAGTATTAATTTTCTTACCTGGATATGATGAGATTGTTGGACTGAGGGACCGCATCCTGTTTGATGATAAGCGTTTTGCTGACAATGCACAAAGGTAAAAGTTACAGCTTAATATTTGTTGCTTAAAATAACAGACAGAGACTGTAGTATTTTTTTCTTTTCATTGTCAACAGATATCAAGTCTTCATGCTTCATTCAAATATGCAAACGTCTGATCAAAAGAAGGTCTTAAAAAACCCTCCCGCAGGTGTTCGAAAAATAGTAAGCAAATAAAATCTTAAAAGAAATGTTATCAGTTATTGGTTCTGCTGCTAGCTTAACTGGAGAATAATCTTGTGTTGCAGATCCTCTCTACCAACATTGCTGAGACCAGCATCACAGTCAATGACGTCGTCTTTGTCATTGATTCTGGTAAGGTGAAAGAGGTACGTGTGGGTAAGTTGTATCTTTACTGGAATGGAAAATGCCAAGTTTGATTCCAGCAAATGTTTTGACAAGCAAAATTCACTTTAACGGAATAATCTCGGTTTTAGGTGACTTTAACATAGTAATGTTAGTTTTATAAAGCTTGGTATTCTACTCAGTACTTAGGACTTATTTTATTATTCTAACAAATTATATGAAAAAGTTTAGCTTCTGGTCACTAAATACTAGGAAGAAGGTAAAGGGCTTAGCTAAATAGTGTAGTGAAAATTTTGTTACACAGAATAGGAGTTCAGTTACAAATGTTGTGTGTTTTCCTCCTGCATGGTTCATGGACCGTGTCCTCTTATCACTTGTAGTTGGTGATCAAGAGAACTGTGCCGAAGGGAAGGACACAAATACGTGAACTAGAACTCGACAGGCTCAGTCCAGCAGCCAAATAAAACATTTCCTTGGCACACAGCCACATCTGTTCTTTGAGCTGTCATCTATGGCTGCTTTTACACTGCAGTTGCAAATTCTGAGCGATTACAAATCTTTGAGAGTCTAAGATATGCACTGATAGGCTCTTCACAGAACCACTTTGCCAATCCCTGATAGAAATAAAAGGCAACATTTATTTTCTTTTAGCATTGGAATGGAATGTCTAGTGGTTCCCAAAGCCCTTAACTTTTTTTTTTTTGGTAAATCCATAAACTGAAAGAAAGAGGTAGTTGATCTAACTTTCTTCCTCTCTTTCTTTCTCTTTCTTTCTTTATTATTTATTTATTCATTTATTTTAATTTGACCATAGAGCGACAAAGAGTGAGAGAGAGAGAGAGAGAGGGGGGGGGGCAAAGTGAGAAAGCAAACCACCAGGTCTGGAACTTGAACCGTGGTCAGCCATGTGGCGTGCCTAGCACCTTAACTACCACGGCCCTGAAGTAGTTGATTTTTCAAGGAAAGAGAGATTATTCATATTATAGAAAGCAAATTGTTTCTGTGTGGTGGTTATATTGAGTTGTCAGAAAAGTCATGACATGTTTTTCTATGCAAAAAACGAGTCATGACTTTTCCAATGACCCAGTGAGTATTCTTCTTTTTCTTTTTCTTTTTCTTTTTGCCAGAGGGCATGTGTGAATGCTGGAGAGACAGGAGGAAGGTGAGAAAGCGCTTCCCATAGGGCATGGTCACACCACGGTCCTTTCTACATCTTTCCTCTTGAGATTTTGCACCCATACGTGCCTGGTTTGTTTTTCAAGCCACCAGGTCCAGGACTCCAACTGCGTAGTTGGCTATGTAGGATCCTGCTGCCTTAACCACTAGGCCATAGGCTGGCCCATAAATGATGCTTTTTAACATGAAAAAAACTAATTCCTGTATAATGTTTTCAAGGTAATTTATAGGAGTATGTTTATCAAAAATTTAGGCATATTCATTATAGTTGGATACTGTAAAGGAGTAATAAATTTTCTTTCTCTTTCTTTTTTTTAGGTTTTTGCCATAGGGTGTGTACACTCACTGGGGAGAGCAAGAGAGAAACAATGAGGGGGGGAGTGCGAATCACCCTGTGGGGGCAGGGATAGCCATGCCACAATTCCTTCTTCTCCATTCTCCTGAAATTTTGGGCATGCATGCTCTCATGTCTGGCGTGGTTTTGCAGCAGCCAGTTTGGGACTTGAACCACTGTCTGCCCTGTGGGGTCAAGCACCGTAACCATCACACTAGCAGCTAACTCCTTATTTTCTTTTAATAGGACAATAATTAATGTTATCACTAAAATCCTGAATGAAGAGCTTATGAAAATTCAGATTTTATTGTCCTAAAATTATATGAAGCTCATGAAGTAGGAGAAATTAAGACATTAATTTTAGAAATTAATTCTCTTTGGTGTTATTTATGAGGTAAACCACCGTTTAGACATGATGATAGTGTCACAATATATTTTATATACAAAATTGACAAATGTAAGATTGTATATTTTATTACAAACTAAGAAGCATAGTTTCTTTTCTTCTTGTTGCCGGAAGGTGTGTGTGCTCTTCCGTGAAAGTCAGAGACAGAGAGGGAGGGAGGGAGAAAGCACCTGCAAGGACTGGTCCTGCCGCACTCCGGTCTCCACGTCTCTGTCCTGTCTGGATTTGGGCATGCACGCACAGGTGCCCAGTGTGTTTTTTAAGCCACTGGGACTGGAAGTCCAAATACAGTCAGCTCTGTGGGTTCTGACTTCCTTAACCATGAGGTTATGGGTCGGACTCAAGAATGGTATTCAAAAAAAATTCTGTATTTAAACTATTATAGGAACACATTTTTATTTGCTCTATACAGTTATTTTATGAAGGGAAAACATAAGTTGCCTAATGTTTGAAGTATATAATCTAGTTAGAAATATATTCTTTTTTTAAAATTTATTTTAATTTTTTTGGAGAGGTTTTTTGCTGTAGGGTGTGTGTGCTTGCCAGAAAGACGGAGACAGAGAGACAGAAAGCGAGAAATCACCCCCCGCCCCCATCCCCGAGGGAATGTCCATGCCACAATCCTCTTTCCTTTCTGTATCTTGGGCATGCATGGCACATGCACCTGGTGTGAGTTTAAGCCACCGGGTCCAGAACTCAAACTGTGGTTGACTACATGAGAGTCCAGTGACATAGCCATTACACCAACTGCTGGTCTCAGAAATGTATTCTTTTAAGATATTTCTCAGGGCCAGCAGGTGGTGTGGTGGTTGAAAGGCTGGACTTCTATATGTGGCCAAGAAGAGTTTGAGTTCTGGTTCTGGTTTGCCTTCTCACTTTCTGTTTCTCTCTCTGTCTCTCTCTGGTAATTGTGTGTACCCTATAGCAAATTTAAATAAATAAATAAAATAATTCTTTAAATTTTTTTTCTAAAAAATGCATCATGACTTTTTTAAAAGAAATATTCTATATTACTTTATTTTTATATGACCAGAGAGGTTCAGAGTATGTGAGAGAGAGAGAAAGTGAGAAAAGGCTCAGAGTATGTGAGAGAGAGAAAGTGAGAAAGCAAACTGCCAGGTCCAGTACTCAACCATGGTCGGCCATCTGGGAGTCCAGCACCCTTAACCAGCACGCCACCTGCCAGCCGCACATCGCGGCTTTTCCAGCAACCCAATAGTTCTTTTTCAGATAGGCTAGCTTCATTAGTAGTTAAGTAGCTATAAAGAAGGAGAAATTAAGAAACATTTTTACTTTGGGATAAAACTAGTTTAGTGATTGCTGTTAATCTTACTCTTCCAGAACAGCTCCCTGAAAATTGTTTCAGAAAATGTCTTTCCCTGAGCACTGCTATTCTCCACAGTGATGAAAAGTCTCATAGACTGTTGACATCAAGAGAGTAAATAGCTCAGTTCTCTGCATCTTGGTGTGCTATGAGAAGTGGCTGTTAGTTGTAGCAGAGAGCAACAAATAACAAAGCACAGGATGGAGGAGTTTTACAGGTCTTGCGACTTTAGTTTTTGCCTTCATTCTCGTTTTTCTTAGAATGTAACCAGAGAATCTGGATTTAAAAAAATTAATAGTCTGTTCTAATTACTTAATCAAGATGGGTCTTTGAATTAAACTTGCCTTGTTAAGATATATTGATAATATTTCTTGCTGTTTCCTCTTAAACACTTTTTATGTTTTAACTTAATGATGATTTAAATATTGCAGAAATCCTTTGATGCACTGAATTTTGTTACAATGTTAAAAATGGTGTGGATTTCCAAAGCTAGTGCCATACAGCGAAAAGGCAGGTAATGTATATTTAATGTACTTCATTCATTGCCTGTAATGTGGAAACATTTTCATATCTACTACATATTTATCATCTATTTCTCTTCCTATAAAATACTAGTTTTCCGTTAGTCTTCTTTTTTTTAATAGAGTCAATTTTTGCTACAGAGTGTGTGCTCTCGCTGGAGAGACAGAGAGACAGAGAGATAGAAAATTAGAAATTCCCCCTTCCAGGGGAACAGCCACGCTGCAGTCCTCTAGAAATTACCCCTTCCAGGGGAACAGCCACGCTGCAGTCCCTTCTCCTCCATTTTCTTTTTGGAATCTTGGGCATGCACATACACATGCCCGGTATGTGTTTTAAGCCACTGGCTCTGGGACTCAAACTATGGTTGACTACGTGGGAGTCCAGTGATGTAACCATTATGCCATCTGCTGGCCCCTCAATTAGTTTTAATTTTTATATTTTTGGGAAGCAAACTTTTTTTTTTTTTTCTTTTTTTGGAGAAGATTTTACTATAGGGCGCATGCGCTTGCCAGAAAGACAGAGAGAGATAGAAAGCGAGAAATCACCCCCCAGGGGGGATGGCCACTCTGCAGTCCCTTCTCCTACATTCCCCTCTCGGAATCTTTGGCACACACGCGCAGCCCAGCGTGAGTTTAAGCCACCGGGTCTGGGACTCGAGCAGCAGTCGACTACATGGGAGTCCAGCGACATAGCCATTACGCTAACTGCTGGTCCCAGGAAGCAAACTCTTAATACTTTTGTAAAAAATCTAACCTCGGGCTCAGCGATGTGGTGCAGTTGGCAGCAGACAGAACTATAATGCCACATGCCCGCCTGTGGGTTCAGATGTCTGGATCTGCTTAAAAACACATGGGGTACGTGTGCATGCACAGGATCCTGACACACCAGAGTGAGTGACAAGGCACCTTTGAAGGTGCTCTGCTCGCTCGCTCTCTGTCATGTGCATGTGCTCACTATCATGAATAGAATAAATAAGCTTAAAGAAAAAGCCAAATTTAGGTTACGTTAAAATTTAAAACTTCTGCCCAGTACACTCAACAGATGCAAAAAGCTTTTTATTTTTCTTTTTGGAGAGGTTTTTGCTATAGGGTGTGTGTGCTCACCAGAAAGACAGAGAGAGAGAGACAGAAAGTGAGAAATCACCCCCCGGGGGGATGGCCATGCTGCAATCCTCCATTCTCCTCTCGGGATCTTGGGCACACGTGTACATACCCAGCGCGAGTTTAAGCCACTGGGTCTGGGACTTGAACCGTGGTCGACTGCCTGAGAGTCCAGCAACATAGCCATTATGCCAACTGCTGGTCCCCAGATGCAAAAAGCTTTAAAAACAAAAACAAAAATTCTAGACATTTGGAATTTAGGGTAAAGTCTAATTTCCTTATTCCACAAAAAAGCCTTTAAAAAATCAAAACCCAATAATTAAAATAAAATGGGTATAGTACTAAATAGGCAGTTTACCAAAATAAAAACTATGCATGGCTATTAATATATAATCTCATGTACCACCTTACATACCTACCAAAATCAGTACGAATTAATGAGGCACTATTTTGCATATCAGTCACATTGGCATTGAGGAAATGTCTAGTAGTGTGTAACAACGTCGTGACTGAGACATGGCCTTTCCCATTTCGATGTGGGAGTGTGTATTAGTGTGACTTTCTCAGAGGGTTAACTGGAGACTTGACCCAAATCCACTCTGACTGTGGATTCCGCTTCTCATAATTTATTCTGAGCACAGTTGTACTTATATAGAGAAATACACGTATAAGAATGTTTTTTTTCTTTTTTTGGAGAGGTTTTTGCTATAGGGTGCGTGCGCTCGCCAGACAGAGAGAGACATAGAGACAGAAAGCGAGAAATCACCCCCCAGTGGGGACGGCCACGCCACAATCCCTTCTCCTCCATTCTCCTTTTGGGATCTTGGGCACGCACGCACACGCGCCTGGCGTGAGTTTTAAGCCACCGGGTCTGGGACACAAACCGTGGTCGACTACGTGGGAGTCCCGCGACATAGCCATTACGCTAACTGCTGGTTCCCAAGAATGGTTTTTGTAACATTTTAATGAAGAGTCTGAGAAAAGCATAGTGTCCATCAATAGTGATGTGATTAAGTTACGTTAAGTGACATACCACGTAGCTATTCAAAGGAAAAATGTCGATCTCTGTGTTCTTACGTAGAATGTTTTCAGGATATATCATTAGTTGAAAAAAGTAACATATGAAGTCTTTAAAAAGGTTATGGAAAAGTTTAAATAGGAAAATTGCATAGATTTCAGAATTTTTTGCACAAAAATAAACTCACACTTTAATTCCGTTGTGGCACACTCTTTGTAATCCCCTTATAGAGTGTGCATCTGATCGTCTCTTGTATGAAATTGTATGTGTTTATGCTTGTTTATGTATTTAGAAAAATACACATGGAAGGCTTCCGTAGGTGTCTCGGTGGTTAAGGTGCTAGACACCCACGTGGCCGGCCATGGTTTGAGTCCAGGATTTCATGACTTCCTTTCTCACTTTCTATTTCTCTCTGTCTAAAATTTTAAAAAGTAGGTAAGTAAATAATTCTTAAAGAAAAATAAATAAGGAAAATGTTTACACCATGAGGATCATCCCTTCCCACCCCCCAAAAAAGAAAAATACATTAAAAAATCTGGAGTAACATTACAAAAACCAATTCATGACTGCTGACTCTGAGGTAGAGGATTCGTGGATGTCCAGTGGCTGCGGGGGAGCCAGGATTGCTGCCTATGGTCCTGTTGATCCCAGTGGGCTGCAGGGCTGGGGAGTGGGGGAAGATTGTGTCGAGAAGACACTGTCAAGAGTGCTTGCCTATCTTTTTATTTTTCTCTCATGAAGGAAATACATATATAAACTTTAAACTGTTTTAGAAAAGAATTTGTGGGCTCTTGGAGGAGGATATAATTTTATTTATTTATTTATTTATTTATTTTTGCGGTTGGTTTATTTTACTCTGCTTTGGTTACTTTTTCTTTTTTTTTTTTTTTTTTTGAGAGATTTTCACTGTAGGGCGCGTGCGCTCGCCAGACAGACAGAGACATAGAGACAGAAAGCGAGAAATCACCCCCCAGGGGGGATGGTCACGCCGCAATCCCTTCTCCTCCATTCTCCTCTCGGGATCTTGGGCACGCACGCACACATGCCCGGCGTGAGTTTTAAGCCACCGGGTCCGGGACACGAACCGCGGTCGACTACGTGGGAGTCCAGCGACATAGCCATTACGCTAACTGCTGGTTCCCCTTTTTCATTTTTTTAGAAGGCAAGAAAAAGGTATGATTTTCAGTGATTATTAAACCAATTTCTCTTACATTTTAACTAGCAAAATACATCAAATGCTGACTTTGAACGAATGTCTCACATATTGAAGGTTTATAAGCATTATTTCTGTACCTGGTGGCTCTCATGTGCCCACAAGAGCCTTGCCATTCTTGTTACTTTGTCTGTTTCCCTCTTAGGACCGTGCGGCTTGATACATTGAGCCACACTCGTATATCGTAGGTAGGAAATCTTTGGAGATGAAGGTCAGGAATCATGCTAATTTTTATTGTCATTTTTTCAACAAATAGTTATTGGAAGTTTTCCACACTGTGCATATGTTAGGGGTAGAGGGATGAACAAATTTTTGCCTGATAATTTAAATTTGAGGTGGGGCAATTGTTTCAGTCCATGTTAGAGCCCAATTAATTAATGAGTTTTAACACCATTTTCTGTTCCACAACAAACGCCTCTTCCTTCTTTTTAATAAATGAAGGAATGACGTAATTACAGTGTTCTTTCAGCTCTTTGGATGATGGCTTGGCAGAGACAAAACTGGTGGTAGGAGGCCCCAGTATACATTTATTTATAATAGGGGAGAGATGGGAGTAACCTAGATTGTTACAGTGGTGGTAGAAATAGGGAGAAGTGTATGATCAGTTCAACCTGTAGTAAAGAAATACGGGCATTGATTGTGTCCGGGGAACGAGGGATTAAAAGTAAAGTCGGTTTGCGTCTTAGAAAATTAGGTGGTGGTGCCATTGTCAGGGAAATGGGAAGAGGTACCTTTAAGAGAAAAGTTGACTTTTGCTTGTGTTGAGTTTAAGTTGACTTCAAGTGGAGCAGTCTATGAGGCTTCTGATGTATAGGCCTAGAATTAGGATAAGGAGATCTCAGAGGGATGGAAGTTGAACTTAAGAGAAAAGGAAGGATCACCTTGGGGGGCCATCACAAGGTATGCCGGTTAAGGTGCTGGATTCCCACATGGCCAACCATGGTTTTAGTCCTGGCCCTATGGTTGAAAATCAAGCCAGGCACGTATGTCTGGTGTTTGTGCCCAAAATCCTAAGAGGAGACAGGAGGAGAAAGGATTTTGTTGTGGCCATCCCCTCCCCGCAGGGTGGCTTCTCACTTTCCCTCTCTGCCATGACCTGCTCTGGGAGACATGATCCTGAGGGGGAGTGATCGTGGATTGAAAAGAAACACACAGACACACAAGTGTAGAACAGCGGGGATTGGGTGATCCAGATCCTGATGGAGGGAGGTATCGTGGCTATGAGCCATTCCCGTGTTTATTGTTTTATAGGACAAAAAGGGGGAGGGAGAAGCAAAATGCAAAGCCGGTTGTTCTTTGACGTTACGGACTGAAGGTGTGGACCGTCTGGCGTCTTGTGGTCCTAGACAAGTCTCTTATCTTCCTGGGCCTTCTCTGACTGGCAGTTTCTTTCATTTATACCATCTTGTGGTGTTGACATAGAAAGCAGAATCGTGTCCTTGCTAAAGCTTTTGCTAGCCCTGCAGTGTCAGCACAAGGGTGTGTCTCTACTTGTCTTTAAAGGTCACTGGTGTGTTGCTGAGATCTGGCTACCCCCTTTACCTCTCTCTCTCTCTCTGGTGAGTGCATGTGCCATACGATGAAAGCCTAGACCAAGAAAAGATAACCTGGAGAGGGAGCGTAGCCTAAGGAGACAGAGGAGTAAGGGCAGGGCTCAGAGAAACCGTTGTTAAGGACCGGGCAGAGATGGAAGTCTCTTGGGCTGGATGGGTGAAAGCGGAAGGCTGTCGTGCGTGCAGTGCGTGCTGGCAGGAGTGGTCTAACACTGGTAGGTTTTGCAGCCCTTTCCATAGTGTGTGTGATGTTGCCTCTCTGGACTGGGAGTTCCATGAGGATAGGAATGTTTCTGTATCCCTGTCACTCAGCGTAGGCAGCCCTGCCATTAACTGATACAGTGACAGTGACGCTGGGTGAACGTGAATTTCTTCAAGGTAGTCTTCTGTCATTTCCCAGAAAAATCATACCAGTGTGTGCGACCGTGCTCCCTGGGAGTTTTGTGCTCAGTCTGTGCAGCGCTGACCTCTGGGCCTGAACACAGTGCTTGATATCAGCTTAATCAGACTGGCTGGGTTTGAGTCACTAAGTATTTGTGCTTCGTTTTTCACTCCTTTTCATATGTATGTTCTTTTACCTTTTTTTTAACCATAATCCTAGAATGTGTATCAGGTAGTTGCCATTTCTGAATCTTACTTTAAAATGATAAGAGAAGTGCCTTCCGAAAGGATTCATAGAGGGTAAGTAAGGATTCAAACTCAAATATGGCAGTCCTGGTTTATCTCTGTCAAGTCACATTGCTTTTACTGTGTATGATAACCTTTATTCATCGTTTGAGTCTTAATCTTTATTTCATTTACAAGGGCGGGCCGATGTCGGCCTGGAATTTGTTTCCGTCTCTTCAGTAGACTCCGATTCCAAAACATGTTGGAATTTCAGACTCCAGAACTTTTGAGGATGCCATTACAGGTAGAAATTTATTTAATTCTAAAACTTCCTGTGGGTGAGGGATGAGAGGGGCTATTTTAGCTTAAACTTAGTAGAATTTTGAAAAATCAAATTATAGGGACCAGCAGTTAGCATAATGGCTATGTCGCTGGACTCCCATGTAGTTGACCGTGGTTCACGTCCCGGACCCGGTGGCTTAAACTCACACCGGTGCGTGTGCGTGTGTGCCCAAGATCGTGAGAGGAGAATAGAGGAAAAGGGATTGTGGCGTGGCCATCCCCCTGGGGGGTGATTTCTCGCTCTCTGTCTCTCTGTCTCTCTCTGTCTTTCTGGTGAGTGCACGTGCCCTATCGCCAAAACCTCTCCAGAAAAAAAAAGCAAATTATAAAACATTTAGGGGGTGGTTATATCTATAACAAAAATATTTTTTCTGTTTAATGAAATACAATTTATAAACCTTCAAAAATTTTAAAGAATTATTTGAGTGTATTTAAATTATGGTACAGTTTGTAAGTTTTTTGTTGTTTTTAATGCAAAACTGAGTCTCAACAACATGGTATTCATCTGTTAAATTCTCAATAGGATTTGAAAACGAATTAAGGCCCAAGATCTATTACAAAAATCTTAGTGTAAGATGCTAAGATTATCTTGGCAGCTTTGGAACTGAGTTGACTGAGAGTTCCAGTGCTTTATTAATTGTTTTTCTTGAAGTTTTCTAACTTCATGGAACAGCTAGATACTATGCAGTTTTGATAAAACTGCTGGAAGTGCATTTATTTATTTATTTTTAAAAAGAATGATTTAACTTTATCTATTTATTTATTTAAATTTGACCAGAGAGGGGCAGAGTAACAGAAGGGGAAAGACAGAACACGTGAGCCTCCAGGTCGAGGACTCAAACTGGGGTCGGCCACATGGGAGTCCAGTGCCCTTAACCACCACGCCACCTGCTGGCCTTGGAAGTGCATTTATTTGGGTCTTTGGTCTGTTGGGCTAGACACTGAATTCCAAACCTTTAAAAAGGTGCAGGTTCGTGGTTTTTGGCATCCATATACCTAAGATAATTCCCCACTTCTCATGCCTTTGTGTATTTTTTTTTACTACTCTTGAGATAAGATTTAGTATTTTTAACAAGAGCTTACCTGGTCTGTTCCTTCCTGTGTTTCTCAGTTTTGTTGTTTGCCATCCTCCTCTGCTTACACTAGTAGTTTTGGTTTCTCAAGCCTGTCTTACTTCCTGTCAGTAACTTCCTGTGTGCTCTTCTCTCTCTCCCTAGACTCCTCCCCTTACCCTGTTTTGAAATGACCTCCCCCCGACCTTTACGTCTTAGCTTAGGGGTCATCTCCAGGCAAACTACTTTTGACCTACCGTGGTCTAGCTCCCTTCCCTGCTCTTTCCTGAACTTGGTTAAATCTCACGTTATCTCTGAATCTTCCCGTATCTTTCATAGTACTTGTCACAATTGGAATTAAGTAGTTAGTTGTAAAATCAGTTGGTTAAGATCTGTTTTTATACTATCATGTAAACTATGAAAGCAGGCACTTGACTTTTTGTCCTCCTTTTTTTGTCCAACTTGTACCTAGAAAACACGTTAATATTTGTTGGATGGATTAAAGATTCTAGTATGTAGTAAGCACAAAGGGAAATAAGATAGCTTTTGGACAGTGACTCTGATTGTTATGTATAGAAACCATGTGAAGACATGTTGCCAGTAGGCCAGGGTTAATTGTGGTGTAAGTGTAGGGTGTTTGTTAAGGTTCTGGCATCTAGGGCAGAGCGTGAGCCCCTCTTTCATAGAAAGACAGTGTGCCCTCTGCTATTCATTTGTGTTTGGGGACTGAGCTTCCCTTGACTTGTTTCAAAGTAAGTCAATGTTATATTCTTTAAAAATGTTCAGTATTGTCTACTGCTTTGTTTACAGGAACTTTGTTTACACACCAAGTTGTTAGCACCAGTTAATTGTCCCATTGCTGATTTCCTTATGAAAGCTCCTGAACCTCCTCCGGCTTTAATTGTAAGAAATGCTGTACAGATGCTTAAGGTTGGTCTTAATAGGTTTATTTGCCTTTTCTAACTTGAAATTTAAACCAAATGAAAATATGCCGTAATTAATTTTGTATTTAAAAAAATAGATCTTAAATGGTTATGTACCTTGATTAACACTTGAGATAAATATAGTAAAACAGTAAGTATAGTTATTTTATATATTTGAAGCAAAATAATTTTTATGAGAAGTGGTAGCAAAAAAAAAAAATTCTTCCTTACGGGTTTTGAAGTGTGTGGTGTGGCTAAACACAGTTTGTGATCATGCAAATCCTGTGTCGATCCTTTTACTCAGACAATCGATGCCATGGATGCGTGGGAAGACCTGACCGAACTTGGGTACCACCTGGCCGACTTGCCAGTAGAGCCGCACCTTGGTAAAATGGTCCTGTGTGCTGTCGTCTTGAAGTGTCTGGACCCCATTCTCACGATTGCCTGCACGCTAGCCTACCGGGACCCTTTTGTTCTGCCTGCCCAGGCCTCCCAGAAGCGTGCCGCGATGCTGTGTCGGAGGCGCTTCACTGCAGGGACGTTCAGTGACCACATGGCCCTCCTGAGGGCGTTCCAGGTACCGCTGCTGCCACTCTACTTCTGAAATGCTGCAGGCGGAGTGATTTCCATAACGATAATAATGATAAAAAATGGCTTAGAATTCTTTGAAGTTTTCTTTTTTATGACGTTACCTTTTTGTTAATAACCCCGAACAATATCTTCTTGCTGTTAATATGTTAAACATATGTTTTTCTCTATTTTAATTTTTCCCTGCATTTTCTCATAATCGGGCTATGTGTGTATGTGTGTGTGTGTGTGTATTTGCTTATCTTTATACTTAAATTAGTTGAACTGAATTTTATGGATTTTTTTTTTATTGTCAAGAGGGCGCATGCCCTCACCAGAGAGAAAAAGAGAGAGAGAGGAAAGAGGAAGTACTCCCCTGGTGGGGCATGGTCACACTGGAGTTCTTTTCCCTCCATTTCGCCTCCCCGTCAGGATGTTAGGTATGCATGCACATGTGCCTGGAGTGGTTTTCAGGCCTTCGGAATGGAGTCTCTGACCCCAGTCAGCCACATGGCATTGGCCCCAGTGGCAGTGCTTCGTGACTGTGCTATGGGGCTGGCCCCTTGGATTGGTGTTACTAGTTTTTAAGGTTTTTGCCATCGGGTATGTGCGCTTGCCAGAGAGAGAGAGAAACAGTGAGAAAAAGTGAGAACTCACCCTCGGAAGTGGGTGGCCGTGCCATGATCCCTTTTCCATTCTCCTCTTGGGATTCTGGGCACACATGCTCACGCCCTGGTGACTTTTAAGCCACCAGATCTGGTGCTCGAACTGTGGTCAGCCGTCTGGGAGTGCAGTGTCCTAACCACCATGCTACCATGGTAGCCCTTGGATTATTTTTTAAATACTACATTCCTTATACTTAAAATCATATCTTTGCCCAGGAATGCTCTAAAATTTTATTAAGAAATATCATATATAATGTTATTTTAAGTATATAGAACAAAGCTTATAAGAAAATTATCTTAAAATTAATGCCTATTTATTGATATTTTAGAGAACATCTTTTTCTTCTGTACTCAAACAGCATGCTGAGAACCTAGTTATATAAAGTAAAATTTAAAAATCACAATCTTAGTGAAATGTAATTTAAAAATAGATCTGTGGGGAAGATTAGGTAGACATCACTGTTTATCCATAAATTCTCTTCGGTGTAGGCTGTGCCTGTGTATTTTTAAAAACTTTACTTTGTTTATGCAGAGAATACCCTTTTCCAGTCATACAGGACTTTCCCAACATGCACATAATATTAAAACAGTCCTTGTGATCCCTCGTGTTACTGAACAGTGGGGGACTCATTGTTAATGAGATGTGGCTATTAGAGTTAGTGGGTCAGCTGAGAGAGGATTGCAGAGCGGTCTGGAGCACTGGGCGTCAGGAGAGCCATAATGCAGCTCTGTGTAGAGAAGCAGAGACACTTCGTGCCCTCATGGAGCCCTTGTCTGCCCTGTACTTTCTCCCCAGCTCCTGCAAAAGCACAGGTCTTTTGCTTGTACTCCCAAACAAGAGAACTCATTTTCAAAGGGAGCTTTCTTATGTTGCATGTAGACAGTTTGTAGAACTCCTACTTTGCATTCTCAGATTACAAGGGTGGGTATAGAGATTATTTTTGGAAATACCACAGTAGCAGGATTCTTAGATATAAATATGTTAAGATGACTTAGTTGGAAACCTCTCACACTTTTGTAGAATAAATTAGTAAATGCAGGCTGGCTCTGAGGCCTGGTAGTTAAGGAAGCCAGATCTCAAATAGTCAACTGTGCAATCGGGGTCCAGGACCTGGCACCTTTAGAAACATGACTGGCACATGTGCGTGTGTACCCAAAATCACAAAAGGGGAGCGATGGAGGAGAAGGGATTGTGGCCTGACCATTCCCCAGGGGGCTGCTTTCTCTTCTCTCTCTGCCTCTGTCTCCTTTGCCTGTACTCTCTAGCAAAAAAAAAAAAAAAAAAAATTAGTAAATATATCTGAAAATGTAAATATATTTATATTTACATAGTTGGTCAAGTAGCTTATTTGATAACTTAGTTCTCATTGGGATTTTACAAACTCAGTGGTTTTTTTTGTACCATTTGAATATAAACTAATGATAAATGATAAATTTTACTTGACTATAAAGTATTTTATAGAAAATTAGAATAAGGAGAATTGACCAGGTGTGGTTAGTATAGTGGTTTTCAGTTACTTTGCCGTCTTGTTAAGAAATGATTGGTGGGGCCGGCAGATGGCTTGGTGGTGAAGGGTGCTGGCCTCCCACATGGCCGACTGCAGTTTGAGTCCTGGACCTTGCTTTCTCTCTCTCTCTCTTTCTCTGTCTCTGTCTCTCTCTGGTCAAATTGAAACAAATAAATAAATGAATAAAGTTAAATAAAATAATTTAAAAAAGAAATAATTGGTGTATCTTGTTATGTAATTATTCTGTTTTTCTAGGCATGGCAGAAAGCACGAAGTGATGGGTGGGAGCGAGCCTTTTGTGAAAAGAATTTTCTTTCACAAGCTACCATGGAAATAATCATAGGCATGAGAACGCAGTTACTTGGTCAGCTTAGAGCATCAGGTAACGTCGTCCCTCACAGAGCCTATTTAAGCCTGACTCATACCTCGTAATACTTCTATCACTGCCTATTATGTTTACGACATTATCAAGTTGTATATCTTATATTTATAGACTAATTCATGAACTTCTAAATAGCCTCAACTTTTGGTGGTGAAAACAAGTGTTGCAGAAGCTGTAACTGAGAAGTCTGTGAGCAGATGAGCTGTTCATCATTTATTGTCCGAAATCAATTTAGATCTTACACTTACTAGATTCTCCTTTAGCTCTATGAGATAGGAATGATGAAAGTTTAAGTAAATTGATACGAATGCTGGTCTTTTTATTTTCGGAACACTAAAACAATTGGATGCCAGTGTTACTGTTTCCTTTTAAAATTACATGCCCAAGTGGCTTAGGACATTGAACAAGGTACCAGAGTGTGGATTCACGGGCCAGCTGCTATGCCGAAGTAATATCAGGAATGAGAAGGGGGTTTAGAGTTGTCTCAAATACGGGGAGAAGTGAAGGACCTTCTAAACTCGAGCAAGAATACTGTGGATTTGACCTCGTCTTGAGGACTGGTGTCTTTCAAGACCCAAATGTGATTGAAACAAGTCAGAAGCATGGTGTAGGTTTCCAGCTGTGAATTTAGTGTGTTTCTGACAGCAGCTTATTGTTGCAAATGTGCATTTAGAAAAATCCCTTAGGCCCCCTTCTACTTACTTTTCTTACCTGAGCAGGTGTGAACTTTCTAGAACATTGTTCTACATTTTAAACAACTTCCCAAAGGAGATTCTATTGTGTGTCTTTTTTTTTTGGAACTTGAATATCACTACATTTAAATGAGTTGTACCTTTTTTTTGGTAAAAAATATATAAATTTAGAAGTATCTTTTGCACGATAGAAAAAGTTGGTGTGGGTTTTTCTTCCCCCATCTAGGTTTTGTTAGAGCACGAGGTGGTGGTGATATTCGAGATGTGAACACGAACTCTGAGAACTGGGCTGTCGTTAAAGCTGCGTTGGTGGCAGGCATGTATCCTAATTTAGTCCATGTGGACAGAGAGAATGTAGTATTGACAGGGCCAAAGGAGAAAAAAGTACGATTTCATCCCACTTCAGTTCTCAGTCAGCCTCAATATAAAAAGGTAAAACTTTTTTGATGCTCTTAGGCCTTGAGGTGAAACTAGTTTAGGTAGTTGAAGATCAGTGAAAAATGCTCCAAGCCCCTGGCTGCTTGAAGGAATTACCTAGTTATCTATGTGTAATTAAACACTGGGGCAGATTCGGATTGGGTCTCAGAGCTGGAAGAGACAGTGCCCAGTACTGATGCTTGTGTACAAGCTGCGTGAGCAATGACTCACTTTAATTCTGACTTGGGCACGCACGTAATCGTCTTTTTGTTGAGGGACTTTATTTTAAGTATCCTTAATAAGCTAGGGGATAAATACAGTTAACACTTTTTAAAATTTGTTTCCCTTACAGATCCCTCCAGCTAATGGTCAAGCTGCCGCAATCCAGGCACTGCCCACAGATTGGCTCATTTATGATGAAATGACCAGAGCCCACCGAATAGCTAACATTCGATGTTGTTCAGCAGTGACACCCGTCACGGTGTTGGTGTTCTGTGGACCAGCTAGGCTGGCAAGTAATGCCCTTCAGGAACCTTCGTCCTTTAGAGGTAAATGTATTCTGAAGGGAATAAAAATCTATTTGAAATGAAAATTTTGTTTTTATTAAGCCAAAAGGTAAAATTATAAAAATGTGTGTAGTATTAGTTCCCTTTTGATATTGTTAGACTAATTAGGAAATACCGTTCTGTACTACTGTCTTGAAATTGATTTCTAAAGGGCCAGCAGGTGGCGTGGTGGTTAAGTTGCTGGACTCCCAGGGCTAGTAGGTGGCATAGAGGTTAAGGCGTTGGACTCTCACATGGCTGTGGTTCGAGTCCCGGATGTGGCGGCTTGAAACTCAGGCCAGCCACGTGTGCGTGCATGCCCAAAATCCTGAGAGGAGAATGGAGCAGAGGGGATTGCAGTGTGACCATGCCCCCGAGGGGTGATTTCTCACTTTCTCTCTGTTTCTGTCTGTCTCTCTGATTTTATAAATAGATCTTCACATTCTTCTTTATTATAAATTCATGGAGGGTTATCTGTTAGTCTGTTCAAAGAACCAGAGTATAACTTTATTATTACTGTTTTTGTCTTTCTAATTTATCCTGTTTTTTCTTTTGTATTATCTTGGAGTTTTATACTATTTTTCTGTGATGTATTTTGCTATATAGTTTTTTTCTTTTTTTAAAAATTGAAACCTTGGACCAGCAGTTAGCGTAATGGCTATGTCGCTGGACTCCCACGTAGTCGACCGTGGTTCGCGTCCTGGACCCGGTGGCTTAAAACTCACGCC